ACTCCATGTTTCAGAAGGCTTGATTTATTATTTTATGATATATATCACATGAAAACTATACTAAAAGAATAGAAGAAAAGGTTCTCCTCAGAAGGCTGGCCAAGCTAAGAATAGAAAGGAAAGAATGATAAAAAAGGCAGCTGTTTCAGACCCTCTCTGAGCCAGCTGACTGTGATTGGCCATTAATTATAAACATCCAACATGAGACCAATCCCAGATGCACCTGTTGCATTCCACAGCAGCAGATAACCATTGTTTACATTTTGTTCCTGAGGCCTCTCAGCTTCTCAGGAGGAAAAAATCCTAAGGAAAGGATTTTTCATAAAAGATGTCTGTGACACTGCAGGGCTCATTCCCAGGGATCAGCCTTCTCCCTGCCTGTGTAACCACAGGTCTGGACAGACAGGAGGACTGGAACTGCCCTGGAGCCTGCACACTGGCACTGAGAGGGCTCCAAACCCTGCCACACACTGTTCAAACACACACAGACCTGTCCCAGCTGACTCCAAGGATGCACAGCATAACTTCTGAAACACCACAGAGTTTTAACCACATTAACAATTGCTCTCTGCCACTTTAACTTGCAATTAAAAAAAAAATATATATATATACATATTCCTTCACCCTCTATGATTCAAGCAGAACCAGTGAACTCTGCTTGTAGCAGAAAGCAGATTTTCTGCAGCAAGAAAGCACTGCTCTGGTATCAGTTATTTATATTTGCATGACAAACAGTTGCTGGCTCCTTGCCTAACGCGTTGGTGTTGGAACATTTGGTCCAAACAGTGTGTCTGCCAGCTCAGGACTGTGCTGAATCTGTCACCAGGCCTTAGATAAATGTGTCACCCCTGACAGGCTGCATGTGGATGGTTTGAACCACGATGAGGGCGAGTGGCTGACCACAACTCAGCCTGTCCTAGGATTGCACACACTTCCCACGCACACACAAATAGTGAGGGCAGCTCCAGACCCATTTCTATTTCCTGACTGTGGGTGTTGTACTGTTGCCCACCACTCTGAATACTATTTCAATTCACAAGTGGGCTAAAGCAGCCTTTACAGCCAAAAAAAATCCCAAACAAAATAAATGGAATGAAACCCCAACCCCGCACTCCTATGTCAGCGACTCAAAAATCTGTTGCATAAATTAGGATATGAAATACCACAAGCAAGTTCTCCAAGTGCCTTCCCCCGAGACTGTGCCACTACAGGGCACCTATTCCCCCAGTCAATGGATGCAAAGTGAGCAGCTCAGGCAATGAAATCCTGCAGTCTAAAAGAGCCACCAGGGCTCTCCCCAGCCACTCTGGTGTGTATCTCCACTGTGTGATGCCAGATGTACCGAAATCCACTCGTTTAGCCCGTGCTGGAATCACAGGGATGGTTCTGAGGCTCTGCTCTGTGTTTCACTGACCTTCCTCCCTCTGAGCTCACTAGGGGTTGGCTTTCAAAGAGAGAACCACTGAGCCCAAAGGCACCCACACCACAGGCAGCACCAGAAAAACACCACTGGTATTCCAGTGATTCGATGGAAAACTCATTTTTCCTGCCTCACTGGAATGCAGAAAATCATTCTTTACAAAGCAAACAGAATGAATTGTAATAATTGAAAACAGCGTGAGCTCTCACTGTTAATTTGGGGAAAGGGATCTCGAAATCTGAACAGTTCCCATCTGAAGCAATGACAAAGAATTTACCAGCAATTTATAGAAATGCCAAGCCAACGTAATAGGGATTTAACTGAGCAGCAGATGGAAAGGAAAAGAGTTGTCTCTGCTTTTGCAGAACTGCTTAGCACAAATGAAGCCAGCAGGGTATCTGCTGAGTGACATCACACTTGGATAATAAATAGATCTTCCCTGGCAAAATTATGACCCAAAAATGTAACTCACTTTTGGAAAGTTTAGAAAACATATATAAACAGTATATTTAGTAATTCTTAATTGTCCTGTTTTCTGGAATAGTAAGTGACTGCCAAAAATATATATTTATACCTGCATACTGTGCTCTGGACACTCATCCTGGCACATTTAAACACTTTATTCTTCAGCTTTAAAAAAAATTAGCTATATTGTACTTTTTTGTTGTTGTTTTGTTTCCTTTTGGGATGCTGAGAATTTAAGTCACTACAAACAAGTGATTGCCCTTATCAAAACAGAAGACTTAACTTTGCTTGGAGGTTTCTGAAGCTTAATTTTTACTTTCTATACACTCATGATCACTGAAGTCATAAATGTACTTCACCTCACTGCAGTCAATTATGGCAAAACTACGTGTCTGCATCTGCTTTACTCTAATCCTCAACATAAATGTGCTTAAGCATGGGAATTAACCTGCTGAACCATACTTAATTACATCCAGGGAAGAAAAAGACAGTGAAGAGCCTGTCCTGGAGACTGGATCCATATTCCACACAAAGATCAGTCCAGCAGGAGGGCTCTGCTGGGCCCTGGGGTGGTTCCAGGGGGTTGGTACAGGCTGTGATGCTGCAGGAGACAGCCAGGGCTGGCAGCCACAACAGAGCCTGTGCTGGGAACAGCTGAGGACACAGCTCCCTCCAGCCCAGATGTGCCAGACTAAAGCTGCTGCCAAGCTCCCTGTGCCTGCTCCTGCTCTCACAGCTCTGCCTCTGAGTGCCATCCTCCCTCACATGAGCAGGGTGGCTCCAGCCAGTTTGTGGAGGAGTCTCTCCAGTCCCAGCTTGCTGCCTGGAATGGGGCAGGGAGTTTTCCAAAGCTGGGGAGCACAACTGGGCCTGCAGGGTGAGCAGGGGGGGCAGGGCATCACTGGCAGGACATCATTGCTTCCAGAGGCACAGGGAGCTGCGGCCTGGCACAGCTGTCTGTGGCTGTGGTGCCTTGAGAAGCTGCCCTAGAGCAGAGGCTAGATGGAGTTACAGAATAAAGCAGGGATTTACTAAAAGGCCTCAAGTTCTGCTCCATTTGCACATTGGAGTTCATTGTCCAATTACAGTTTGGCTTATGAAGTCTCATCCTTCTTGTTTCACAGAATTTACAGAATCACCAGGTTGGAAGAGACCTTCAAGATCATCAAGTCCAACCCAGCCCCAGCAACCCAACCAAACCCTAGCACCCAGTGCCACATCCAGGCTTTGTTAAACACACCCAGGGATGGTGAATGCACCACCTCCCTGGGCAGCCATTCCAGAACTTTATCACTCTTTCCATGAAAAACTTTTTCCTGATATCCAGCCTGTATTTCCCTTGGCACAGCTTGAGGCTGTGTGCTCTGGTTGTGTCAGTACTGCTGCAGACAGAGCCCAGCCCCAGCTGAGCACAGGCACCTTTCAGGAGCTGTGCAGAGTGATAAGGGCACCCCTGAATCTCCTTTTCTCCAGGCTAAGCACCCCCAGCTCCCTTTTTCTCTCTCCAGCCCACCTTGTTTGTGCTCTTGGGCTGAGATTTGGATCATTTGTCCTTGGTCCCCTAGGACCAAGCTAGAGCAGGAATTGTTTTGTCTCCCTGCTCTGTGCACAAAGCTCACAATCCCCTAATATGAAGCTCAGAACCACACACTAAAGCAGCACAGAATCTGAAAATTATGAAAGCTAAAACTGAAGGCATCACCTGTGCCTGCTGATGATCTGGGAGCCAACACAGCCCAGCTGGATGAGGGCTGCAATCCCCAGCACTCTCCTCTCCCACCTGCCCCAACCTCTGCTCATTTCCACTGAGCCCGTCCCTGTGAAAAGCAGGCTGCAGTAAACCCAAGGCAAAGAACTGGTAAATGTTTTACTGGTCTTTTCACCTGGATTTTAATGATTTTACTGTCCCTACAATTTTAAAGTACTTTCCTGAGAATCCCTTGAATTATTCCTCCATTGTGCAGGAAGGCCAGCCTAGAACACCACTAAACATTATGCAGGTACTGAATGGGGAAGTACTTTGTCTATTTGCTGTTGTGTTATTTAAACAGAATTCTTATTAGCAACAAAACATGACTCCCAGCAATAAAACACCTCTTTTTTGATATCTGAGGGCTCACAAAGTGTTTCAAAATGCACCACACTCAGTGTTATGCTGGTAAAATTACACTTTGCCTCTCCACCTAACAAGCATTTCCATTAAACATAGCATTCTCAGCAAGATGTTTTCTCAATGGCGAATACTTTGATTGACAAAGGATTAAATTACTGCTGAGCCTTTCGTGATTTATGGCTCTTAACACCTGTTAGGTGTTAAATTTACCTTTTCACATCTCTGCTGTGCAAGATATCTGCTCCCACTTCATTAAGGTCCTGTGTTTTACACCAGTGATGACACTTCAACACAAAAACTGATGCCTTTTTGAATATAATACTGAGAGACTTTTTAATAAATTTATCTTTAATGATTTCACTGGCTATTTTTTGCCTCACAGAACGGATTCAAAGAAGGAATTTTGGAAGAAAAGCAGTTCTGAATTTGGTGTTTTTCTTGTTGCCCCCTGCAATATGGCATGGTGAAAAAAACCACACTTTTTGCACTAACAAATTGTCTATAGACACTGTGTCTGAATTGCAATGGGCAAAATATATTGAATTCAGCATCTAAATTTCAAGAAAGGATTCTCTTAAGGGCTATGAATTACACCTAAAAGAGGTTCAATATATATGTGCAATCAAATATAGCATATAATTAAACAAAAAATATTTAATCATCACCCAAATTTTCTCTTAAAGAAATTTATTACAGTGCTGCAGTAGCACAGTTAAAAACCACTGAGACTATCAGAGCATCACAGTGTATTTGTACAGGCAAGAAGTGCTCAAATATTTTAATAAGGTGCTGTGCAGTAATAACTTCAGTGTGTTCCCAGATCACAGAATTAATTTACAGTCCTTTTGCAAAACTAAATGGATTTAATATAGTGATCATAAATTAACACTAGCAATGGATGTAAACAGCTATCTGAGAGAGATTTCCTTCAGTTCTGTACCTGTTTGTGGTGTGATAAACCAGACTTCAAGGTATTACAGCAGAGAGGCAATCTGTTTAATATGGGAAACAGACTTGGAGGCAGGAGGTGACCTGTTTGCAGAATTCTCCTAAATCCCAGGACAATTATTAGAGAAGCACTTCTATATAATCTTGACAAAGGCAGTGGAACGTGGCTCTGTGGTGATGTGACTTCTCGAGAAATCTTTTAATTAAACAAATGCAAAGGGAAAGGTTAAGTGAAAAATAAACAGCTCCTAAACAGGCATGATGAAAAGAGCTTAACCCACATCAAAGGGGCAGGAGATGGTTTCAGTATTAAATCAGACCTTGGGAGTTAATCTGGCCAGGAGGAGCCTCAGAGTCTTTTCTGAAGTGCACATCTGTGTGACTCAGCCTGTTCTCACTCACAGCCAGCACATCCAGAGACTCCATTAAATACACATGCAAGTTTTCAACTCCATGTTAAACCACAACAACTTGCTTTCCATTTCCTTCTTTTGGAAACATTATTAAGACAGCTCCAAGATTCAAGATACAGCTCCCACTGCTTCAAGATTCCAGACTAGAATTTTGCAACTGGAAAAACTGCACAAAACCTGCAGGAAGCCCAGACAAAATTCAGATTGGCTCGTTCTTTTGTGTGTGTGACTCCTCTGTTCTCTTTGGAATAGCAGTAAACCAAAACCACCCGGTCAATTTGCACAGGCAGGACATTACTCTGGTTCTGAGGATGAGGAGCTTTCCACCAGCTGCAAAAGAAGCTGGCACCCACACTGCCCCAGGTGAAAGCTGCTGCTCCACCAAGGCCTTTGGAAAATCACTCAAAAGGTAGTAAGAGAATCTATTCCTTCTATTGAGTCTATCCCATTTCTTCTTTCTCTATAAGAGAAGATGCAAAATTAAATCTGGTGACGAAGTGTTGGAAAGACAATTTCTCAAAGACCTGAGAGCCTCATGCTCATGAGTGTGGTGACAGCCCCAACAACCATGCACCTGCAGTCAGTATTTCCTGCTATTTCCACCAGTTCTGAGTGGTTTGCCTGTCATTTTGTATAATTCAGTGCCTCATCCTCCCAAGATCCATACCATCACTTCCTTAAATCCTACTGGGAACACACTCTGCATTTTCAAATGTGAGAAACCTTAATTGGAAACACCAAATGTGCCTTTTTACATTTCATCCTGGTAGACAGGAGACCAGGCAGATTCCAAGTTGGATATGTGCTCCAGAATTAAGATTTAAAGGAAATTTATGTGCTTCAACCTGCCAGAGCAACACTCAGAATTCCCATCTACTCCCTTCAAGCAAGTACATTTTCACCAGTAATATTTCAGGTGTTACAGATGTGATTTTCTGGTGAGACCAGACCTAAGTTAGAGCAAGGCTTCCTTTGTTTGGCTTTTACCTCAGCAACATTTGTCTTCTACATTCCCATTTTTCTCTGAACTAGAGAAGGGGATTCTCTCTCCTCCTGGCCCAGCACATTTGTTTCATATTCTCCAGCTCCAAGTACAGGCACCTAAAGCACTTTACATCCTGCTGGGGAGCTCATTTGCTCCCTTTTCTATCCAACAAAACCCTTTTTCACCTTCAACCTCTCTCCTGGCCACCATTTCCAGTTGGTTGGGTTGCAGTTTGACTGATCCCTTGCTCAGGATCAGTGTATTAACCCAGAATTAGGATTTTTCTGGAGGAGGAAATGTGGCTGGGGTAGTTTTTCCTGGAGTTGACTCAGCTCAGTGAGTGGTCAGCAAAGCACCAGACTCCAGATGGACACAAGTGACCATGCAACTTTGACAGTGACAAACAGACAGCCTGGTTTTAGCTGAAGAGGAATATTTAGAGATTTCTGTTGCTATCTAATGGGTAACATTAGGTTCATCTCATTCTTTAAGATTTTTATATCAGCTTTCCAGGTTTCTTCATTATCTGAACACCTTTATTTGATACCTAAAGTGTCTAGTTCCAAACCCAATGATGAATTATGAATAATGCTGGCTATTTCTAATACATCCAAAATCAGATAAAAGATGTAAAAAGAAACAATAATTAGTTTTATCACCTGCTTTTTCTGCAAGGCAAAGAATTTATCAAGCTAAGATCAAAAGCCAGTCCTCTTAAAAAAAATAAATATTGTTCTTAAAAGAGATATTGATTTGGCATATCTTCAAACAGTATAAACCAGGAAATAATACTGCTAATGAAAACATCTAAACAGCCTAAGGTACTTGACCTTTCCCAAAGCTTACTATAAATAGCTTCCAATACTGAGGCTTGCACTCTGCAACTGCAGCAGATTGATAAGGAACAACAGCAATGCAGAGGGAGTAAAACAGGTTATGAAACACTGTCCCCTGTTTCAGATAGCACAATATAAACCACTCCTGTTAATGCACTGAGGATGCCAAGGTTATGTGGCTGAATTCAGTCCTGTGATGAACGAGTGCAAAGGATGTCAGAAATGTGCTGGGATAAACAAAAAGCAGAAAAAACTCTTGTTTCTGCAAGAGAAAGTGGCATTTGTTTTGAAATAGTCTGGTGTTTTTTGATAATTCCCTAAACAGCCTGGGAGCCTGTGCTTTAGGCAGCACCTTCAGTAACACAAAGCTCAGCCCAAGCAGACAAGGCCATTTGGCAAGGAGAGATACAATTAAAAAAATAATGATAAAAAAAAATATAGGGTAGAATGGTGTTTTTGGAGTTATACTCTCTCCAAACACACTGTTCCATATTGCCCTGAAGCAATCTTTTCCATAATAAACCCACCTTCAGAATGAAGATATTTCTTCTGATTGCAAAAAACGAACATAATTCATAATTCCACATCCAAAGCAGTATAGCAAGCAGTTTTATTTCTTAAAGGTAACTACTTTCTCTCTTTTGGTTTAAAAATATCCAAATAGCATTGTATAAATAGAGGTAAACCCTATTTATCTAGGGTAAAACCCTTCCACAGCATTTCAGTATTCCTAATATTGCCCCAAGAATTAACTTCTAAGAATTAAAAAAGTTGGGCCTTTCTAAATATTGACCTAGTCACCAATGTTTTCCTTTTTCAGAATTCATTAGACACTGACATGGCTTATTTAGAAACCAAAGTACCTGATCAATTCAGTATCCTGTGAACATTCCCTGCCAGCCTGGGGCTGGGCATTTCTTAGCTCCATAATTCCATTACAAAATGTTTCCAGTGTAGTTGTGATGTCTTTCCATATGAAGATCAGCATCTTACGCAGATAATAGAATCTGAATGCTAATTTCTCCTAGAAACAACCACTAGAACAAGAATCATACGCCTTGCTGGTGTATTAACTGTGTTAAAACCAGCATTGTTCCTTTACACATTTTTAAATGCCAATAAACTACCTTAGTCCCCACAGGTCTGTCATAATTCATGCATGAGATTATCTCATTTTACTACTCTGGAATATGTTCTGAATACAATTCTTGTTTCATTTCTTCTGGGAAAAGGGAGAGGTTACTACTTCAAACTGCTTCATCTGAAAAATTTCATAATTAACTCAATGTTAATTCTGTGCTACAACACAAACATAATCACGTTATTAAATTAATATTTAATTATAAAATAATCACTGTGCAATATAAAGGGTAAAAACAAATTACAGAATGATTACAGGGTAATTAAATATTTATCATTGAAACATCTGAGTGACAATTTGTGACCATAATGTGCCGAGAATTTTGTCCACAGCAAACTGCTGTGAACCACAGTGAGTCTCTTTCCTTATCTTTTACACTCAGATTAATAAACCAGGTTTAATCATCTCTGTGTGAGAGTAACCAAAGATTTTTTACTCAGCTAGATTGTCCTCTGTGAGTAAACACAGAACTATTACTCCAGAATTGTGCTGCTCACTCAAAAGGAGTAACTGAGCTACTTTTTATAACTGTTCATTAGGAATATCATGGATTACAAATGTTTTCTTTTCCTTATGTAAGTTTGTAAAAATAAGGGAAAACAAAAGGCCTGAAAACTTCTGAAGTTTAATGAAGGGAATGAGATAAGAACTCCTCCATGATCAGGGATTACTGTCACCATCATATTTTCTGGAAAAATCCCTTCACCCAGGACTTTTCTCCTGGGAAGCTGGCAAGCCTCAGAGAAAAAGGAAAACAATTCTTATCTCATTTGCTTCTCCTGTGTTGTGCTCATGTGGAATGTGTTTGGAGATTGTTTACCCACAGGTGATTGTTCCACTGGATTCTGCTGTGAGTTGTTTTCACTCTTTGGCCAATCAGGGCCAAGCTGTGTCAGGAAAGAGTAATGAGTTTTCATTATTGTCTTTAAGCCTTCTGTAAGTATCCTTTCTGTATTCTTTAGTATAGTATTGTTTAATATAATATAATATAAAAAAGTAATAAATTAGCCTTCTGAGAACATGGAGTCAGATTCATCACTCCTTCCTCCATCTGGGGGCAATGTAAATACAAGATATCACCACACCTAAAGCCTCCTGGGTTCAGCCTAACCCACTTCAGATATTCTAAATTTGAGTGAACAGCAGCTGCACAGACACACTCCCATTTGCCCTGGCAGGATAAATCTCCTTCCTCAGGCACAGCCACCAAGGCCAGGCACAAACATTTCCATGCACACAGCCCTTCCCTGCCCTGAAACGCTGGGCTCAGACACCAGCAGGGCTGCAATTCTCTGTGCCTCACCCAGGGAATCAACATTAAAGTTTTCACAGGCAAGTTTCCTCCCAGGAGCTGCTTCTTGTAGAGACAAAGAGAGAAGCAAACATGAGAAGAAAGCGAGCGTGTTACTTCACTGCTAAAAACAGCTCCCCTTGAAATTTCACTGAGTGATGATCTAAAAGAAAGCCATGATCCTTGGGGTTGGGATCTGAAGGTTAACCCTGAGCAGAGTCTGCACTCTGTACGGCTGGAAAATAAAAATGCCCCAGAAAAAGAGATGCTAAATTTACCATAGGTGTAATACATGATCCTAAGAATAAAGGTAAAAGTATTTCTGCCACTGCCATGCAATGAACAGCTCGTTCTGTGCCTGAAAATTCTCTCTTTTTTTTATGCAAGCACTGGTGATGTCACAGAGATGATGTCAATAATCTACTTTGTTTTCCAAATCTAGTGACAAAGATAAATATTCCCAGAGAATTTCTGCTGTGAGGCTCTCCAGAAGAAGGCACTCTCTTTGCTTTGCCTATTCTCCCTTTCTTTTTTTTAGCACCAAATCTAATTTACTTGGGAAATTGTGGAAAATTATCAAAACAGCTCCGATTTCACCCCTACTGAATAGCAAAAATCCAATTCTTTTACAGCATTTACATTTCCAAATTGAGAATCTTTGTATTCCTACGAGATATTTTACTGTGAGAATGTAAATGAACACAAGGATGCCCAGAAAAAAGAAAAAAATCACCTTGGGAAAGGTAAATTTCTTCAAAGAACCCTCCACAGCAGGTTATCAATGGACTCTAATGGAACTTCCTAGGAAGAGCAGTTGTGAGTGAATTGCTGAAGGAACTAATTACTGCCGGGTAAAATGACAGCACACCGTGCTGAAGGGGTCTGAAGTTCCTGACACAGCTGGCCTGCTTGTTACTTAAATGAAAGAGCTGGACAGGAAACTTCACATCAGTAAGGAGGACAAAGAGGTAAAAAAGTGTTTTCTTGAGATGAAACAGAAGGTAACAACGTAAATCAAGAAATTAAAATCAAGCCTGGGCTAACTGCAAGTCAAAATATAGTTTGACTGGACTAGAAGAGTTCCTTCTAACACGGCTATCAAAAAATTCCATGGGAATGAAATTTTAACTGAACTAAGTGAACACCACAAAACTTTTCTGCAGAGATTCTTAGAAAGAAAGAAAAGATTCTTATCTACATGTAAATATTGCTGACAGCAATAAGTTTAAGATGTCTCCACTATAAATTCATACCTTATCATTAATACCATCAATAAGACTGACAAAGCAAAGAAATCAAGTAACAGGTTGAAAATATTAATTGGAAATAACTTCAATAGCAAAAGTCATTTTCCTGGCACAATCTCTGCTTAGTCAAAAATGAGTAGAGCTGAGGAAGGAATACCTGATGTACACTAAGGCAAGCTTAAAAACTTGCAATCTGAAAAATAACATGGACAAAGATAAAAGCCAGGCCTCCATATGTAAGCTAAACATGTTTAGTATTTAATTAAAAATGTTAGAATTTTTTTTTGTTATGGTGAGAGTGTTTAATTAGGGAAAAGAAGAAGGATGGGTCTTTGGAGGGTATGGGATTCCAGAAGACATCACAATCCATTGACCCTGCCCACAGGGGGGCCCTTCCAGACTTGTGCTGAAATCCTGGATTGACCATAAACTCACCTTTTACCTGGCTGACTCCACCAGGATTAGTCATTTATTCAGACACCTTTGCATCACTTGGGCATTAAACATCTTTTGCTTATGCCAGCACAAACCTACAGCAATCTTGCTTTACATCAGCATGAGACAGAATGCAGAATTTAACACCAATTACAAACTGGCTCTTCCTTTAGCTGTTGCCAAATAGCAAGGAATTATTTGTTGCTTCCTAGGTACCTTGGTGATTAATGAAGTTTAAGAAGGGCACCTTCACTAATAATATGTGCCTCACATTGATCATGTTTCCAGCAATCATTAGTATTCATTAACAGCAGTCAACTTCTTAATTCCTTTTTGCTTAAGTCCAAATTATTGCAAGTTATTTACAACACCCTGTAGGAAAGAACAAAGCTCTCACAAAATCTTAATGGCTTATTCCCAGATCCTCATATACCAGCACTTCTGGGAAATACATGCACACTGCAAAAATACCCTGGCTGATAGTCCAGAGAATTAACTGCACATAAAACTCTCTGTCCAGAGTAAGCAGAAGATAAACTTGCATCAGGAACATGGCAGAATTACAAGATACAGGAAGGTAAAATAACTCACTTGCTCAGATCTGATTGTCTTCTATAAATTCAGCACTGCGGGCTTCTCCTTCTCCAGGTGGTCTGGTGCAGTTTTAGGATAATTACAGCATCAAACCATCCTACAATTTGTCTGCACAATCTCACCAGAAAGCTCCCAGGCCAGCTCCATACAAGGAGCTCTCCCAGTGTGCCTATCAATTTACTTCTTGCTTCTTACAAACCAAACCTATGTTAGAATCATGGAATCACAGAAGATGCTGAGTTGGAAGGGACCCATCAGGATCATCCAGTGCAGCTCCTGTCCTGCCCAGACCCCCCAGCAATCCCCTCTGTGCATCCCTCGGGGCTGTGCCCATTCCCTGGGCAGTGCCAGCACCTCTGGGGGAGCCAGAACCTTTCCCTGATCTCCAACTAACCCTGGCCCAGGGAGCAGAGATCAATTCCTGCCCCTCTGCTTCTCCTTTACATTCCTTTAATTGGGAATTAAAAATCTTTTTGCCCAAGATGAGTATCTCTTGCCTGTGACAGTGACTGGTAAAGATTTTCCTTCTCTTTATCTCATCCCAAAACTTTCTCATTCCAGTTTTTCCCCCATCCAGCTGAGGAGCAGGGGGTGAACAAGAAGCAGGGTGAGCAATTGTTGGAATCTGTGTCTGCCCAAAGATTTCCAGCATTTCTTGTGCACAATCCTAGGTGCCATCCTATTATTTCAGAGCCCACTTTGAGATATTCCTAAATCTCCCCAACCAGCTTCTGCACTTCACAATCTGTGTATAAAAAGAATTCCAAATAATATCCATGCATCCTTCTTATCATTTTTCTCTTTTGATTTAAATATTCAAATATTACAAGGCAAAGCATCAGAACTTTAAGATTTATGAATACATCACCCATCTGGCAATGGTCTGAGGTTCCTAGCTGCAGTAGATGAGTAAATCTGAAATTATAATTCCTTCCAAGACCGTCAGGATGACATAAATTTGCTAAAATCTGTAACATTTTGTGAAATACACTAGAAACATTGCATGCCTCAAGATGCAATGTGTATATACCCCACATCAGGAGTTCAAATATTGGAAAACAAGTGAAATCTATGATAATTTTTCCACTGAGGGACATAAGAAAAATATAATGCCATAAACACAGAGACTGCCTTTTGGAGAGTTACTTTCTAATTCCTCTATTGGATTGAAATAAAATGGAAATATTGTGGTTCACAACAGTAAAACACAAATGTACAAGAAAAAACACAGACCTCAGCTCAGGAGAAATCTGTTGAAGAAGAAAAAGTTGATTGCATTTGAAAATATCAGAGATTTCTGCTGGTGTGTCATTCAGAAGGGATTGTTTCTTTCTTCCTCAGGTGAACTTCCTGTGCAATAGGAGAAATACAACAAAAGTATTGTCAAAACTTAAAAACTTGTCTGCCAATGCTCACATTCTCTTGCCATTTGTGATTTTGCATTTCTGGTGCCTAATGGGGCATTCTGGAGGGATCTCATTGATGTTCAGGCCTGCCCAGCCTGCACTCACAGCCACAGAGGTCTGTGATGTGCTGCAATCCTCCAGCCAAGGAATTCATTGTCTCTCCCACTCCAGGACCACTTCTTTCCTTTCACATCAGAGCAAGAACAGCACAGGAATGAGGAGAGCAAGGTTTGGATGTGGGCTGTGGCAAGAAAGGCTGAAAACTCTTCCACACTGTGGAGATCAGCCCTGCTAATGATGCCTTGGGAAGGCAGGCCTAGAGCAGAGGCTGGACAGAGCTAAAGAATAAATTTGGGATTACTAAAAGGCCTCAATGGATCCACCTTGGGCAGCACAAGAGCCCAGCCAGGGCTGCACCCAAGATGAACCAAAATGGTCCCAAAATGCACAACTGGGCACAGGGTCTCTCCCTTTGATCAGTTCTGCTCCATTTGCATCTTGCAGTTCATTGTCCAATTCCAGCTTTAGCCCATGCAGTCCCATCCTGCTTGTTTTTCTCTCTCCAGCCCACGGTGTTTGTGCTCCTGGGCTGAGATTTGGATCATTTGTCCTTGGTGCCCAGCTGGAGCAGGAATTGTTTTGTCTCCCTGCTCTGTGCACAGAGCTCACCATCCCCTCATGTGAAACCCAGTCCCACACACTAAAGCAGCACAGAACCCGTAAAATATAAAAGCTAAAACCTGAGGCATCACTAACACTGTCCTGAGTACTTTCTGCAGCAATGAGGGGACCAGTAACTCCAAAGCTGATCCCTCTCCTGGGTCCAAACAATGTCCTGTGCTGGAATATTTCTGATGTAGAAATTTGATTTTGATGAATAGCTCTGTGACATGAAAGGAAATAACTGACATCATCTTCCTGAAGAGCTAATTTGAAAGCCTGGCAGCTATAAACACACCTCCAAGCAGCAGCTATTAATGAATGGCTTTTCCTCTCAACTTTTCAGGTCTGGGAAAAGAATAAGGAACTTCAAACTTGTCCACATGAATGATTATGGAGATGTTTGTCATGCACAGGCCCAGCTTCATGCATGGGTTAGCTGTGGATTCACCTCTGTTGGTTGGCCTCCAAAAACCAAAGCAGAGCTTCAGCAGTGAAAAACCTGACCCAGGCACATGGTTAAGCAGCTTAGACATTCCTTTTCCACTGGATTTCTTTGTAGCAAAGAAGCAGCTAAATAAATAATAAAGCAGATTTTAGAGAAAGGCTTGGAAAATTAATGGAAATCTGCATGATCAAGCCTGGAAGAGCCCGATGTGAAGCTGGCTGCAGAGCTCTGGTCAAATCAGAATAGTCAGGGAACAGTTTCACAGCAATGCAGACATCTCTGGGAATACTTTTATAGTGACACCACCTCAGAACAGTTTATTAGACTTGTTAAGACACATTATAATAATATCTAAGTAAGTTTGGATCTATTCCAAAATGAATCTATGTATCATTATAGCAGATTCACATGCTGGTTTAAAAATATGGAATTATGCAATAGAAAAAATTACCATAAAGGTAAAGGAGCAAAATAAACCAAGCAGTAAAATAAATTGATTTTCAGGTGACGTAGCTCTTACATCTCCTCTGAACCCTGGCAATGCAAAACAACACATGATGAAAGGAAAGAGATGAGCAATTCCACTTCACTTGTCCCATTCCTGGGCTCCAAAACCTGGAGCAAATGAAGGGACGGGAATTTCTAGAAGGGAGCTCTATTCTCACTATTACTTAAACATACAAAATAAAAACAAGGACTATTTAGTGCTGATATTGGGGAACTCCAAGCAGCACCAAACACCAAAACTCCATGGCTGCTCTTAATTCAACATCCTGTTTTTTCTGGCTCAAACTTTAGCCAACTCTGCTGGCATTTCCTACACTGGATCTCTCTCTCTCTGGTTGAGCTTTTCTTTCTCATTTTTGATACTTTCCTCCTGCTCAGCCATTTCTGAGACTGGCAGTGGGAGAGAGGAATTTTGCACATGCAAAACAGTTCCCAGACTTTTTTGTTTTGAAGCCTGCTAGCATTTCCACACTTCCCACACATGTAAGCAGGAGCTCAAAGAATAACAAGAGAAAGAATCTGTTCTCAGTGACTGAACTGAAGCCTCTCACAGCTCGAACTGTTGGATTTTGCTGACCAAACTTTACAAGCATTGTGCCTCCGGAGGAAAGTGGATATTAAATTCCTGTCCCAATGCCCTGGGCTCACTGAGCACCTCCTGCTCTTTGGTAGTGGAGAAGGGTTTAATGATAATTGCTGTTACAAGACAAAGTCAGGTGTTGGCATAAAAAGCTGAGATCTTTTGTCTCCTTGCACTCTGCTGGCATTCTGACACCACTGAATCACAAGCTAAAGAAAGAAAGAAAAGGAGCAGTCTGAAGGTGCAAAGAATGTGCCAAAAAGCTGACTTGTTAAAGAAGAGGAGGTTGAGATAAGCAAAAAAAAAACCCAACCCAATCCCAAACAAACCAGGGTTAGTTGGTATATCTGAAGGATAAAGAGCTGGGAGGAATAAACCACAAGGAGCTGAGAAAAAAAGCTCAGCTTTTGTAGTCAGTCCATTCCTGGTGGGGAGCAAGGTGTAATCATAATGTACCTGCAAGAAGGGGCCAAATGCCAGGTATTTCTCAGCTTTTAGAGGGATGTACAGTGGAGTGTCACTTTTATTTTGTATATATTTTATGGAACACATATGAGCTGAGAGCAAGTTCAAAAATGAAATTTCAGTTTCTCAGTAATTTATTTTCTAGAAAAATAACACTGAGTCAGGACAATGAACCAAAAACTTGGGAACGTGTACTTATTGCCAAGTATGACAAGTATTTCTAGAATGAAATATCCACTTCAAGGTACCAAACTACTTGCTAAAAATCAGAGCAGGACATCCAAGCAAATTTGGCAGTTCTAGACAAATACGGATAAAATATATGGATATGGATAAAATATCTGTCATTTCCATGGCTACTCACCATTGACTAACACAGGAGATTTTTATTCTGACTGTGGAACTCAATTTCAGTCTGCACCTGCCACAACTCCCATCACAGCTCATTAGGGATCCCCCACAGTCAGGAAATCTGGAGAGCAGATGCCAAACAAGTTGGCCTGCCTGGGGATCTAGTCTAGAAGCCATGGATTATGAAATCACATGGCAAGTGGTTCCAAATACATGACCTAAGAAGTGTTGGGTGCTTGGCAACCCATCTGTATTCATCTAGAGCCAGATGAGCAATTTAAGAGAAAATGAAGTTTCATTATGAGCTTATAAAAATGGAAACCACTAACATGAAATGCTTCCAATCAGATAATATGAAAAATGGAACAAGTGAAAAAGTCACAAAAATGCGAGATCTATTGCTACTACAACAATCTGGTAAATAAATTCCAAAAAAAATCTCATTTTCACGTTCTCCTCCATCGCTAGGTCATATCCTCATAAATTCCTGAAAACTCTCACCAAAGGAATACAAAGATCAGTTTCCTCCTGTGGGAAAACACTCAATATTGTAATGGCAGCACTTACTACAATTTATAGTTTGCTGCCAAACTCCACACTGCACACAGGGCACACTGCTGCAATGCATATAGCATCAGTGCTCCAGTTTTTAAAATCATACAAAAAGGGGATATTTATTGAGAAGAAAGCCTGACCCTCAACAAAGCACTGCTGTTGGAGATGATAAGAGGAAATCACATGATATATTTCACACTAGGACCTAGGAGAAAAGGCTTCCAATCAAATGCACTTTCTGGATGAAGGAGAACACGCAGAGCAAAGGCTCACAGAGAACCTGTGACAACAGGGTACAATTACAGTTACAACTGATCCAAACGCTGCTCTCCAAAAGCAAATGGTTTTTTAGAATTTCTTTGGGACCTCTGTGGCAATTTAAGGTGGCTTCTTTAATGGAGGAACTCTTGCAACAATGGGAAAAACTCTGTGCCATAAAATTGAAAAACGTTTACTTCTCCTCTCCCATACAGCACACAAGCATTTTGATTACCACTCCACACTAAAAGGATGTTTCAATTTAAAGCTCTTCAAGGGGCTGCCAGAAATGCTCCTCTCAATGATAAGTCCATTTTACAAGACAAGTGGGGAGCATTGCCTTCCTAAGGGCCAGGAAAGTGTATTACTGTGTTATTTACAGCCAAGTGACAAAACAAAGAGAAATGTGGAAGATATCAAAGAGAATCCAAGACTAGAAGCATTAATAGCCTGAAAAAACACACAATGCTTTGGGTATTTTCTCTCCCCCATCCCATTGGTCTTCATAGACTCTGAAGTTTAAAAGTGATGGAAAACCTGAGGGAAGGCTCAAAGCTGTGGTCAGCAGGTTAACCAGGTGGTGACTTGGTTCTACAGGTTGAACAATCCTACCTCATAAATAGGAAAAACTGTTTGAGGATGCCCATGGCAGCCCTGGCTGCAAAGATCACACAGTGGAGTTTCAGATCCTGAAAGAAATAAGCAGAAAAAACCCAGCTGAATTAAAGCTCTGAACTTCAGCAAAAGAGATTTTACCCTGCTCAGAGACCTCCAGGAAACATCACAATATGAGAATGTCCTAAAGTGCAAAGAGGGGCAGGAAAGAGGCAGGGGAAAGCATTTCAATCAAGGAAGGTCAAACCACAGAGTGCTTTAGCAAATACCATGGACATTTCCAAGCCTGCCCAGAGAGTTTTTCTATGCGCTGGGAGACCATTCCCTACCCCTCTGAACCATTCCAGCAGCCACATGAGCTGCCCAATGCACAGACCCTGAGCAATCTGCTTGGAAAAGCATCACTGCACATGAGGACAAGAGCAGGTCATGGACAGAGATCTTCTAAAATAAATCATTTTAATCAAACCCAAGCTATTTTGGAAAATAAAAACAACAAAGCCCA